CCTTGTGTCTATAAATGCTAGACTCCAAGACCTTGGAAGAAAATTAATAGATACTATTTAAACTATTGACAAATGTAATTAGTCAATTTTTTTTCCATCTGAAATGTTAAAGTGATATTTCTAGCATTGTGGACACATTATCGTTTCACGATAAGAATGCTATATTTTTTAATGTAGAAAAGAAATGATGAGACCCATGTGACAAGCTGATTTTTATTTTGCAACACAGCAACGTGCAGATCGCTATAAAAAGAGAAAGCAGATTTTCAAAAGAGCCGAGGAGTATGTGAAAGAATATAGGCGAAAGGAGAGGGATGAAATTCGATTGATGAGACAAGCTAAAAATCGTGGAAATTATTATATTCCTGGTGAAGCACGTCTCGCATTTGTTATTCGTATTCGAGGGTAAGTGTATAAACATGTTATTATTAACAAATTAAGCTTTTTCTTTTCTGAAGACTCGATTTAATAATAACATTACAATCAGTTAGTACTGATAGTATAATCATTATTAACATTACATTAAATTAGTACTTAATGTAATGTTAATAATGATTATAACATGATTTTGATACAATCACGTCATTACATCAAATTGTTGAGTTAATGATTGTAATGTGATTACAATTTTTTCAGTGTGAATCAAGTTGCTCCTAAAGTACGAAAAGTATTGCAATTGTTCCGTCTAAAACAAATCAACAATGGTGTCTTTGTGAAATTGAATAAAGCAACAATCAATATGTTACGTATTGTCGAGCCTTATATCACATGGGGTTATCCCAATTTGAAATCAGTTCGTGAATTGATCTACAAACGAGGCTTTGCTAAGATAAATAGGCAACGCATACCGATCACAAGCAATTCCATCATTGAGAAGAAACTCGGTTAGTAAAACATTTTCTAACACTAGTTCAAATGAGCAATCAATAATCACTAATAAAATAATGAGGTGCGACCAGTGTGCATATTCTCGGCAAATGATTTCTTGACAAATCCATGGGAGTCTTTGAAACCTACACATTCTCCTTTCCATATTGTCAGAAATTAATAAAGCAATTTTTTTTAGCCTGACTATATAATCATTGTATAGTCAAATGAAAAAAATTGATACATAAACTATAAT